CGTTTTTGTTTGTATACCCTCTTTCGTAGCGCATGTGATACGTATTTGCCCCCATAGTCGAATTTTTTGTTATTTTTTGACATTGCAACATTGCATATTAAACCAATAGTACATAAGTGTACATAGAAGCTAGAATAAAAATTAAAATTATATCCATAATAACAACTAAAATTAAGTAGAAGTAAAGAGTTAGTCTAAAAAAAACCCTTCGTGTTGGTCAGGGATCATTTTTGTCTCGCTTATTGCTACATATTGATTTTACACATTTACAGGAACCAATACATTTCATAAATTTTCTTTTACAGGAACATAATGGTTCGTTACGCCTGAAATGTTTTGCCTAAATTAAAAAACCTTATTTCACAGAAAATTGAATGTCTCTATACCTTTTTTTATATTGACAAGTGTTTAGAACTGAGGTATACTCTTGTAATATTACTTCGGTTATCAGTACATGTGAAATTTTTGATTGAATTTTACATTATATGGCAAAAGTTTAAAGTTTCCAGGTAGAGTTTCATTTATTGAAATATGCGTGTAAGATACTGTGTGACAACAAGCGTGGCTGGTTTCAACCATTTTTTATGACTTGGTCTCCTAATAGGTTAAGAGTCCCAAACCAATAAGTTTAGGGGTATATTCTTTTTTCATTTAAACTCATCATCTTGACAAATATTAAGTATTTCCGTTTCTTTCCTGGCATTACATGTTTCGCTCGAGCCAAGAAGACTTGTTAAGAAATATAAATTATTTGGAATATGCGTTTTGTAATCCTTAATTTTCAAATTTTTAAATTTAAATTATGCCATTTATTTCCGTTTTAATATTTTGGCAAATCTTCGTCATTGCTAACGAAGCAAAGGATAAATAGTTGGACGTTTCCGTCTTAGTGTGATGCACTACTGCTTCAATGACTGCCTCCTTAGAAAACCGTTTCAAAAAATTTCTAAGTTCTTCTAGGTATAAATTTCTTCTTGGAGAATTCAGTAATTCAATCCACAAACTTGCCTTTAACTGTTTTAAACAAAAATCCCAATGTGCGAGTTTATTTATTGTTTTACGTGATTCTGTCAAATAGCATGAAGCATTTAATTTCGTAGTTCTTCGAGTTTTAATTTTGTTTTTCCATATTAGTCATGACTTGTCAGAGCTTTTGATTTTTTAAACGTTTCTGGCAAAATACGCATTTTAAAACTCGTATAGGTTTTGTAACAGTTTTTATGTCATTGTAAACTTGTTTCCTTATGTCATTAAAATTCAAAAAAATATGTAGAGCATTAGGATCCTTGCCTTAACAGAATGCGGATGCGGATTTTTGCAAATTCAATTAATTTTTGTTTGGATATTTGTTTTGACGTTACGAGCTTTCCGCCTTATTGACAAGTTACACATAATTGGAAGTTCAAAACTTTTCCTTTAGTGTTAGCAGCTTTTAGCAATTAGAACATGTACTGATTTTAATATCCATTTGGATGAAAATTATAACTAATGCGTTATTATTAATCATTCTCACACAAAAATAAATATATTTTAGTCATATTATAAACAACTTCACTCCCTCAAAGAAAACTATTTTGACACTTAAAACGCAGACATAAAAAATAAATAAATTCATCCTCGTTGCGAAAGAGGGTGTACAAGCGCACGTCGGAACCGCAAAGTCGTTTATTGCCTGACCGTCCTCGCAAATCTGACCCTTCCTCGCTGCTTCGCTGGCGGCCGTGATATTCACGACATGGTTTCACATTTTGCTAATGAAAAAAAAACTGTCCATCAGATTGGGGTTTTCAAAAAAATGTCTATTATAGGAAACACTTTTTTGATAAGCCAAATAATTTTCAAGTTACAGCGAGGTAAACGATAACATAAAAATCAGTTTTCAGAGCAAGCTTTTATTCATTAGAGACTCCCATATAAAAGCATTATGCGGTGTTTTTAAAATGAAAAATAAAGTATTTCTAATAAAAATATTGAAAAGCGGTTTTGTCAATTTAAGAGCAGAATGGTGTAGACAACAAAATAATAATAATTTCTTGACAATTTTTAGAAAATTCACCCCTACCACCCCCTGCACCGCACGATTTTTATACGACCAATTGATGCATTCTTAGTGTACAAGAAATGATAAAAAGTGATTATTACGTTTTAGCAAGAAAGTGCAAACGAAAATCCAGTTTAATAGAATTCTGCGAACTTAATAAATCTACTAATGCAAAAGGCATTTCTACTACTACAAAAATATAAACGAAGTCGGGACATTTTTACATCTTGACTTTTCACAACCCAACTTGCATGTCAAGGGTTCCATTCTTGAGAAACATTTAATTGTTAAATCCGCAAGGCGACATCTTCACTACCTAGATATAGAGCGTTTTTAAATTTTCGGCCCTTTAGAAAATTGCCCATAAAATTTTTATTTATGAAAACTTTGGATCCAGATAAAAACATTATTATGGCATTTTAAAGTAAATGCACTAGCGTACTCAGTTTTTTTTACAGTTCTTCGTTATGTCATTAATGAATTCAACTTCCTTATTTTATATGGCAATCATAGTCCTGAAGTAAAGGGCATTCTTTTTATGTATTAGTGTATTGTGTCGCTGTCAGTTAAGGGCATAAATTTTATGCTTTATTGAATTTTGTATCACATAATTTTAATGGAAAAACTGAACGCAGAGGCAGTTAATAAACTTTATTTCGATAAATATCCGGGGCAGCAACAACCAGAAAAGGAGGCAAGGCAAAATCAAAACGACTTAAAGGAGGAAGAGAAAATCCGTAAATTGAATATGATTGCACAAGTGTTGCAAAATCCAAGCATTACTTCTTGAAAAGAGTATTAAATGAAGTGTTTGGATAATGTTGGATTGGAACTAGTGGCCTGCGAAATTGTGTGATGCTAACTCCTCTAGTTTTTTTATGGGGGATATTTACAGATCTTATATTAAAGAATTTTCTAAACCAAATCACAATTAGAGGAAGTCACTCGGGAAGCGTTTACTCCCATCAATCTTATAGAGTTAGTGAATAGTTGCCATTCAGTAAGAAAACTGACGTTCGGTGTATAAGAAGTATTCAGGATATATTGTATTCGAATACTTATTGCTTTCTGTTTATTAAGATAACTATAATTTATGAATAATAAATAAAATTCCAATAAAAATATTAAATGGTTCTTAGGTTTCGTGTTTTTCACTTAAATTATTTTAAATTGTCCTTATCTTATCTTTATATTAAGTTCCAGAGTTTATTAAATAAAGTAAACAAACCAGATTCTTTTAATCAACTCCACTAAACATTTTGCCCACTCTGTCCAAAATCCTGAAGAAATTCATAAAGCAACAAATTCAGTCATGAAATTTCAGTCGTCCTGACAAGTAAAATGCTGTGACGCAGTGTTTAAGTCAAATTAACTTTTACAGAGCTCAGCGATTGCAGAACTATTGACTAAGACTAACATAAGGTATCCCAAAATCTTACACGATATTTACAGTCTGCGACCTTATTTTTCATAATTATAAAAAACCATATTACAAAGTATTTGACTGCATTTTAGCATTTTAGTTAGTCGTTTTCGGGCTATATTATAACACTATTGTGAACTATTCAAAAATAGTGCATAAATTTCCCGCTAAAATGCTACAATCAAAAAATGAATTTATTTTTTAAAAAAATATTTAATTTAAAAAAAATAGAGCAGTAATATATTTAAACTCTAGTATAAATTAAGAACTGAAAATGAACTAATACAAATAAACAATGTCTGAAAATAACCTTTATCAGCATTTACCTATTTAATTGATCTCGCGAAATCTACGATATTTCAGGTTTCTTTAATTTAATTCATTTATTTTATTGAAGTTAATGTTCCTAAGCAGCTTTTGTGTATAAATTAACTAGTCAAGGCGAACAAGCGGAAGAAAATTTTTCAAAATTATATTTGTTTATTTTCTATAATAAAAGTCCTTTATTATTATTAAAGACAGAAAAATAATTAAACTGCCAATATTCAAAATGTGTTTATCATATCTTCATCATATCTTTTTCAACATTTTCTTGTTCTTATGCAAAACCAGAGAAGGCATTAATTTAGTACTCCATTCATTTTTAAGGGAAGTCACAAAATTTCGTTCGTTACCCGCAAATACGCCGCAAATACGGTCGAAACGAATCCTTTTCAGTATATTGTGCGCCTAAAATAACGGCCTTGAAATACGCAAAAAATGCTACGTTGCCATTTTACTACCTCGTAGTAAGCCATACAACGAAACATACTGTGAAGTCCTAACGTATGGTTTACCGCGAAGATTCAAAGGGAAGTCAATACATGCGACAGACATACCAAGATTACATTGCGAATTGCGATGCGAGCGCCAACGATCTACGCCTGAACTAAAATTGATAATGTACGGATAAATGGTCGACCTTGGGACTTCATTAGAAAATTTTGCAGGAACGTTGCTAAGGCCCTCAAGGTCATACTGGCAAAGTTTTACATAGGAAACGTTGCGACTTCCGAAATCGGAAGTCACCACGTTGTAGATGAAGTCACATCGTTAATTGAGTATGTATTTTGGAAGTTGTAGAGTACGTTTATCAACTTATCATAACCCAATTGATGCAACACGCCTCTAATGTGAAATGATCAGGTGAATTTGGGGTGCCTTTACTCGCATCACCTAAATATTCTGCAGAGTATTAAAATCACACACAATAGGAAAAAATAAAATAGTTTATTTTGTATCGTTTATCTCAAATTGGCAACTTTTAAATTTTAATAGTAAAAATTCCGTCATTCTTATAAGCTGAACTGATATAAATGAAATAATATATAAAAACCCTTGCTTCTTACTAAGATCTCTTTTAGTTTACACTTGATAGCACATAAGTCCGAATCATTGCATGCATAGTCAAAAAAAGATACACATGTACATACAAACACATTTACTGTTATAAAGTATTTTGTAATTCTTTATTAATGAGATGTTTCAACTTTTCAGTAAAGCACTAGATGTTCGCGGCGGATGCGACGGCACGGAAATAATAACCTACAAAGATAAGCAGTCAACCAATCAGAAGTTTTATTTTTCCCCCGACGGTACAATTCGTTCCAAATGTGACACAAATCAGGTAGTAGCGCCGGATAAAACTGGCCGAAAGCTGATTTTGGAAAAATATGATCCGTTAAAACTGACTCGTTATATATTCGCGGAACTGCCTCCTGAAATTTCGGTTTCAAACTAAATATTGTCATCCATTTTGAGATTCCATGAATAACAGTACCGTTTCAGAATTCGACGTAGTTTTATTTATAACCCTTTCATAGTTTCGTGGTTTGTTTCGTCTATGCCAAAATAGTTATTTTAGCGTTAAAAAATACAGGAGTTTCTTATGTGACGATCGAAACTGTTATATTTATTTAATTCTTCTAGCAGACAATACGCATTTCAATATTATAAGATTAGGAATCTTGGAATTTCAAATTTAACTTAACTAGTCAAGTTACAAGTTTATCAAATTTTTGTAAATATTCGGTGTGTGGTGAATGCATACATTTCCAGTAAAAAATGTTGAATGTTCAACAGTGGTTATATTTTGTTATATAAATTGATAATTCGTTTTTGTAGGCAAAAGTGGGATACAATTTAGCTGGCTTATTGCATTTGTTTGTTATGTTACAGAAAATATCTGCTTTCAGATCATACTAGATTAGCACTTAAAATTAGTAGAAACCCTGCATATTTGCTAGGACATACTAGTAGTAGTAGTAGTTGTAGCAGGCCTTGTCTTTTTTAAGACATACTGAAATTAGCATTAGCAAATAGGGTAACACTTATTTGTTTCCACAGGCTTTTGTGGCATTTTGAATTGCCCAGTTAGTTGGGTTCTCACCTAAACAAGCACTTATAACACAAATAAAAATGTTGTTTACATACGTCAAATTTCAGGTCAGGCATAAATTTGTTTTAAACATCCTTAATTATGACTTAGCTATTACAGTTAAATAATGGATATTTAAAACAACTTTATGCCCAATCTGAAATTTGACGTATGTAATAGTATATTATGCAACAAGTGCGGTAAACGGCATTTGATTCACGAGTTTATTTGACACAAGCGGAGCGAGTTTTTAATAAACGAGTGGGTTAAAAACTTACCGAACGTGTTGCATGCTATACTTTTTCTACGACCGTTAGTTTTTGGGTACATTTTCGCAAAACAACACGAATACATTCACTGACATGACCATCATAATTGACAAACGTCAAAATTCAAAGCGTGGGAAATATCTCCGAAAACATCCAATTGCACCCAAATCCGTGCGGTAAAATCCCGGAAATGTCCGAAGTGGCTCGGATTCATGGGAAACGGAGATCGGCGGGTAATTAGGTATTTTACAGACGGGAGTAGAAAAACAAAATTTACCATTACCAGAAAAATTTGTTGTTGAAATAACTAGGAAACTGAAAAAACTGAGCAATTCGGACCATTCATTAACCAAGGCTCAGTTCGTGCCGTTGCTTAGTTAGTTGAAAGATAAGTCTTTAACAAATTCATAGAAAATTAAAAATAGATATCAAGTTATATGCTCCATCTTCGGCTCGTTTTGTTTAAAGTGCTGGTAAAATTAATTTTTTTGTGAGGTCGTTTTAATAAACCATAATGAATTTATTTCCGGCATAGTATTGGGAAGCCATGTCTATTAAATTGACCTGACAACGACTATGAATTTGTCATTTCTTTCGTGACGTGCTTATTTATTAGTAGTTTTATATTCGGCAAAACCGAAGGTTTGTGCTTCTTAGCAGTGGATTTTGCATTTAAAAATTTACAACCTGCGAAAAACAAACGAGGTAAGGGTTTTTATCAACCTTTAAAGAATTAATAAATGGAAATCTCTTTTGATTTGAGCATTATTTTTATTGTACAAAAAAAATTACAGACTCTGAAACAATCTCTCTCTCTCTCTAACCCTTAATTTTCTTGTATGTTCAATGTATAAGATTTTCTCAAAAGTAGTCCAGATATTAGTGTAAAAAGCGTAGTAAATTTCTCTAACATCTTTTGTACAATGTCTTTGTAATTTTGATATTTGTTGTTTCCTAGAAGAACTTTCAAAACATCAGTAAACTAAACCCATGCAATCTGTTCACATTCGATCATGGTATTCACAAAGTCTTGATCTTAAATTGATTAATTAATTATTTGAGGATCTAGAAATTTTTCAGGTTTGGCTAATTGATTTTCACCCATTGTTACTGTCTGTTTCTACTGTCCAACTCACACAAAAAACATGATGATCTGATGATCTAGTAGAAGTTGACTTATAATAGTCATTCTTTTTACAAAACTTCTGGATTCCTCCTGGTCTGTTTTTGCTGAATCGAACTTGCTGACGTTTCGCCAATAAACTGGCTCGTATTTTACTCTGTACCTGCTTATATATTGTTTGAGGGGGGCGTGGCTAAATGAGGGGCATAAACACCGTCTCGGATGACTGATTAGCATATTGGTGACAGGTAGAGACCTAAGTCGCGGTTAAGATTGTTAGGTTGTTAATAGATTTCTGTAGATTCTCGACTTTTTCGTTGGTAGAAGAACTGATTACAGGCAAGAATTTTAGTTTTATCGAATAAAATTTATGTCCTGTTTCATGAGTGTGTTCTCAAATGGAATTTTGTCTTTGACCGACCGAAGATGTTGAGAGATTTTTCGAAAAGTGGTAAATCTGGTTTTGACGTTATACTGCTTTAGAATTTTTGATATGTGGTCGGTGATGTTTTGAATGTAAGAAAGGACCACAGTGGCAGCGGCAGTGGCCTCATTCCTATTGAAAGGTTGTGGTGAAGTGTATTTTTTGATGGAACGCTTAATATCTTTAATGTGCAAATTATTAGAGAGAAGAGCAGAGGTAAGGTGTTTTAATTCTGGGTTCATTGACTCGGGCTGAGATAGTTTTAAGGCTCTGTAAACGAGAGAATTGGTAACCGATGATTTTTGGGCCGGATGGTGTTGTGACTGTGCATTAAGGTATCGGTCTGTGTGCGTAGGTTTTCTTTAAATATAATGATCCAATGTTAGGTCTGAGTTTCTATTGATGAGAATATCTAGTGGAAGGTTATTATTAGTTTCCAACTCAATGGTAAAACGTATGTTAGGGTGTATGTATAGAGTTTAAATGTCTAAGAAAATCTACTAGGGTTTCTTGACAATGAGGTCAAATAACAAAAGAATCATCGACGTAGCGTTTCCATAATTTTGGTTTTAGATGAAAGGTGTCGAGAGCTTTCTTCTCAAAGGCTTCCATAAATATATTCGCGATGACTGGTTATGGTGGAGAACCCATAACTGTTCCCGACGTTTGTTCAAAAATTTTACCGTTATAAGGAAAATATGTTGCCGACAAGTATTTTTCAATTAAGGTGAGAAGGTGGGTTCCAGATTCATGGACTTTAATATACCTGAAATGATGTCGAGGGCATGAGTAATAGGAACTCTGGTAAAAAGAGATTCTACTTCGAAATTAACTAGAGTATCTAGTATATCTAATGTGAATCATTTTTAATTGTTCAATCTATATTGTTTAAATCACAAAAAAGGGTTTTTATTCAATTTTCAATGCATTGGTGTAGTAGTAGTATCTGTCATGATACTTAAAAAAATATATTGCTGAAATGATGGACGAATAGGGAGATCGCATCACATTAACTTAAAGTCGGGACAAATTTAATTTCAATGAAAATACTATAAAGGAGTTTCTATGGTAACGATAACGGGAACCAAAAATACAAGGATTTTTGCCTTATAATTTATGATTTTTGATGCTCATTTTATTATTTGTGTCATAATTTCAATAGTTTCCTTTTCAATTCAAATGCAAACACAATACTTTCGTTTTAATAAGGATAACAATAGAAATTATCATACACATGTTGGTTTGAAGAAGACATAGAGTTATATAGCAACCATTGATTTATTAAAAAGCAATAACGAAGCAAAACCAAATTTAATTTTTATCAAATGGTAAACGTTTTTTTTTTTAATTAAAAAACGTTTTCTCTGTGTGTGTATGTAGTATAGAATTGTGATAATTGCTTTAAGCAAGTTGCAAATATTTTTGGGGATACTATATACTATCTAAGCAGACGACAAGCGTGAAAAGACGCAAAGTTAAATCCAGTTTTTTTCGAAATCGAAAATAGGTGGACTGCTAGCCTGGACGTAGTCGACGTAATAGGAACTCATTCCTATTTATCACTGTGTGCTTTCAGCACGTTTTCTGAAAAGTTTGACTTTTTCTTCGTCAGATAGAGCCAGATAATGAAGGTAATTGCGATAAATGGGCGCCCGGTAATGCACTTTACTCCCTCTCGAATGGTTTTTGCCCCCAAATGTTATTTGCAGTTTATTAGCCAAAGGAAGAACCAATTACATGGGTCTAACCGAAGGAAAATTTAGTCTCGGATATGTGCCATGGTCGGTAAATTAGACGCTGCCACACACTGCATAAAGTTTGCCAGATTTGTTCCTATACGAAATTGTAAAGTCCAAGCCACCAACTTTGTCGTAAATGGAACAATCTAATCTCGGACTTTTTAACCTTCAAACCTTTTCATTTTTTGTGTAACAATCGATGGCATTTTCCTAGGGAAACTATAAAGGTTGCATAATTTGTTTGTTGAAGGAAACTGTAATAAGGTATACAATTATAACTATCAAAGATTACAGAATAATATATAAAGTTGCCTATATCTCTGTAACTCTATGGTTCGCCTCGCTTTTTGGCAGTTCAGGGTATATCAGATGTTTATTGTCTACCGAAACATCGTATACAAATACTAAAATGCTAAAAATGCTAAAGTCAAATATTTCAGATAACATGACTGTATTCAAGGATTCGATTCTTACTTGACTTGGTATTTAAGATTCGAAAATCAATAGTGGCCTGCGACTCCAGTATGAGAATTTGCAACAGAATGACTATTGTAAAAACTTGGTCGCAAATACTGTGGCTATGTCTTCTCTGACATCACTGATTGCCATTTGAATAGTGGTACGCTGTAAGCTTTTTAGATATTTACTAATTTTATAGATTCAAATATGAAGTAATATTTTATTATGATTCCACTAGAAAATCGGACAGGACTATTTTATGTTTTAGAGAACCGCGAACAGAGATTTAAACATAATTTTTTGTGGGAAGCTCTTCCTTACTTAATTTGGAAGGCACATTAAGAAGCCTGAACCCTGAAATTTACACAGTGCCTTTCCTA